GAAGATGTGTCATGACTTCTCCAAAGATCTGGGGCACACACGCACACGCGCCCGGCATGAGTTTAAGTCACCGGGTTCAGGATTCGAACCACAGTCGACTACATGGGAGTCCAGCGACATAGCCATTACGCCAACTTCTGGTCCCTTTTTCTTTCTTTCTTTCTTTCTTTCTTTCTTTCTTTCTTTCTTTTTTTACTATCATTAGTCAGAGTACGAAAAAAATAATGAAGATTAAATAGTCAGGAAAGGCTTTTGAGAAAAAGGGTGTTAAAAGATAGGCACTAGGAGCCAACATTTGGTATAGTGGATAAGGCACTGGGCTCCCTCACGGTCGACCACAGTTTGAATCCCAGTCTGGTGGCTCAAAAATCATGCTGAGCACATATGTGTGAGTGTCCAAAATCCCAAGAGGAGAATGGAGGAGGATGGATTGCATTGTGGTGTAATCATTCCCCTTGGGGAGTTATTCTTTACTTTCTCTCTCTGTTTCCGAAGAGCACAAGTGCCCTATGGTAAAAAAATTTAAAAAAAGGCATTTATTTATATTAATACATTCTTTGGCTCGTTGATTAATTAGTTTGTTTTCAAAATATTCAAACCATTGTTGACAATCAACCATATGCCACAGATATGAATAGTAGCTCACCAAGTAGATAAGGTATCAGAAGAGGCAGTCTAGACATAGGAGAGATTGCTTATAAAGATGTGGAGGTATTGGAAATGTGGCACAACATTTTGACAGGGAGTTCTGAGTAGTTCAGTGTGAATAATACATAGGGTTCAAGGAAGGAAAGGTGAATGGTGATGCTGGAATCACAAAGAGATCACATGGAACTCCATAGGCCAAACAAAAATGTAAGTTCAGGGAACTGTCTTGATGGTTCTGTATCGGGACAGTACTGTGAGACCAGATTTTTCTGGAAGAAAAAGGGAAGGCTATGAGTCAGATGGCAAAGGGGAAAAGAAGGTTGGTAAGATACCACAGGGATTATAGCACAAGTTTTAAAGCCACACTTGACCTATGTCTCATACGAATTGTGCTACTCACTAATTATGAGATCTCAGGGGAATTTTTTACCTCTCTGAGGTTTGATTTTCTTATCTGTGTAAAGGGGAGGTTAAAAGCCCATAGCTCGGGTTCATCAAACCATGTAGTCGGTTATTTCCCTGGACTCCCACTTGGACGATACAGTACAAGTCCTGGATCCTACGGCTTGAAACTCACACCGGGTTCGTGTGTGTGCGCAGGTCCCCGTGCTTACATGCACCCAAGACCCCAGTAGGAGATGGAAGAGAAGGGGTTGCAGCATGGCTATCCTCCTTGGGAGGTGATTTCTCACTTTCTCTCTCACTGTCTCTCCTCCCACCCCCTCCCCCAATGATGTATGTACATGCCCTAAGGCAAAAACCTCTTAAAAACAAAAAAATCCCCTAACTCAAAGTTTACTGTAAAGATTAAATGATAATGCATATAAAACATTTAATACATGCCTGAAACATAAGAACATAATAAGCAAAATTAAGAGATAAAACAGGAGTGCATTCCAAGTTAAAGAGACATTTTTCCTCCCTAGTCCAAACCCCTTTTGTATTCTTTGCATAACTTGAAATTCCTGATGAATTTCGTCTGCTG